CAGTGTGGGGAGGGGGTGGCTGCAGGCTGGGGTGGAGGGGTCAGTGTGGGGAGGGGGTGGCTGCAGGCTGGGGTGGAGGGGTCGGTGTGGGGAGGGGCTAGCTGCTAGCTGGCACTCACCAGTTACTGTTTTTTCAGTAGTTTGGGTCCAGGTGCTTCTGGGGACCTCATTCCTGCTTGGGGCCACCCTGATCTGTTCATATTGCCGACGCCAGCCTTGCAAGCCTGTGGTTCCTGGTAAGTCCATACATGTACTGCACATATACGTTACCAGAGACATGGGGTAAAGTTAGGTAGGTACTCTAGAGCCCCTGGAACTCTGTGCAGAAGGGGAAACTGAGGGAAGGAGTATGAGGTGCAAAGGGACCCAAGATGCACTGGACTGGCACCTAAGTCCAGGGGCCTTGGCTGCTGCTGATATGTCTCTCTCTCTCTCTCTCTCTCTCTCTCTCTTATCAGCAGAAGACACAACGGAGATGGAGACCCTGACCTCACCACAGGTAGTTATCTCAGGACTGGGAAGCTTCTGGAACTAGGAGAGTTATAGTCCTCAGTGCTCTGCATGGTTGCTAGCACAGGTTAGACCTAACAGACAAGTGCTGTCATTTGTCAAAGAGCTGAGTTATCAGTGACAAGACCAGCCGCAGCACCGGCTCTCAAGTGACCGCCCTCTCGAGTCAGCAAGTGCCCCAGGCCTAACATTGAGAGGGATAAACAACTCCAAAGGATTGGGGGACAGACTTCAGGCAAACACAGTAGCCTTCTGCTGGGCCACAGGAGTGTGTGTGTGTATGTGTGTGTGCATGAATACCCAGAGCCTAGGGGAGGCAATTCTGCCTTCTGAACCAGGGAATGGCCACCTCTGGCAGAAACTAGCAAAGGGGCCTGTTTAGACACACATGGCTGATTTGGTGCCTCCCCCCACTCCAGACTACCCATCTATCAGCCTCAGACAGTGCCCACACCCTCCTGGCACCCCAAGGCAATACTGGAAAAGTCTGCACCACTGTCCAGTTGGTAGGCAACAGCTGGACCCCTGGTTTATCCCAGACTCAGGAGGTGGCCTGCAACCAGGTTCCACGGCCCTGGAATCAGTCGCCAAACAGAACTCTTGGTAAGTGATTGAAGTGGCTAAGGAAGAGGCCTGACTCCCTAGTCCCAAGTCCAAGGTGGGAGGGACATTGTTTCACAGCCGACTTCCTGTCCTCACTGGATGGTATCTGGCCTGCCCAAAGAAGTCCATTAGGCCTCCTGGTGGAAAGCAACTTCACTTCCCCGACCCCACCTCAGGCCTTCCTCTGGCACCTCCGCTCTCGCCAGCGCCCCCCGCAGGCTCGCCAGCCGCTATGCTCCAGCCTGGCCCGCAGCTCTATGATGTGATGGATGCGGTCCCAGCACGACGGTGGAAGGAGTTTGTACGCACACTGGGGCTGCGGGAGGCAGAAATTGAGGCTGTGGAGGTGGAGATCTGCCGCTTCCGAGACCAACAGTATGAGATGCTCAAGCGCTGGCGCCAGCAGCAACCTGCAGGCCTGGGTGCCATCTATGCGGCCTTGGAGCGCATGGGGTTGGAAGGCTGTGCCGAGGACCTGCGCAGCCGCTTGCAGCACGGCCCGTGATGTGAGGCCCACTAGTCACGTTGTCATTCTAGTGACCCTCGCAGGAGCCTTAAGTATTGTTACTTATGTGTGTAGACATTTAATGTCATTTACTACCCCCCAGCACGGTCCTGCGTAGCAGCACCGGCTGGCCTCGCCCCTGCTTACCTGCCCTATGGAGCTCCAGTTAAGGGAAGCGAAGCGTCTTGGAGAAATATCAAGAGGGGCCAAATGATCAGTTGCAGAACTGTTTATCAACCTGAGTTTGGAGTTGGTATTAAATATCTTAAATAGTTTCTTGGTGTTTCAGTGGGGCTGGGGCTGTTGAGTTTCCCTCTAGTTCCCTTTGTTTCCCTGGGCGTTGAGTTGGCTAGGGGTCCTGACGCCTTGAGAACTGGGGCGCGCAGTGGAAACCAGCGGCCTTCGTGGCTCCTACATCAACCCCTCATGTATACGCCACGACCCGGTGGCCCCAGGAGAAAGTCACTAAGCCGGCGAGTGAGAGTGAATTAGAGCCACATTTGGCGGATAGAGGTTTAATGGGGAAGGAAGGGGGTGGGGTATGGGGTCAGGAATAGTTGCGGCTCCAGGTGCAGGGTCCCTGACCCTCCACTTACACCATTGGGGCAGTGAAAGGGTCAGGGGAGCGCGAAGGTAGGTCCTGGCTGGGGACTGGGAGGGCTTAACTGGGGTAGGGGTTTAGATGGGGCCCCTTGGGAGCGGTGGCTCCGCCCCGACAGGCAAGTTTCATCGGTTCTGGTAAACAAATGACTGAGAGGAAACCCTCACCGGGGATGAGCAATGCAGCCTGGCCTTGGCTAGTGCAGATCTGGGTCGTGGAGGGAGGAAAACCCCTTCCCCGAGCTCGGGGTCTGCCTCCACCCAGGATGCGCTGGCAATATGGGTTCCGAGATGTGGGGGAGGGGGCTGCAGCCGGGTGTGCGCCTGGCAGGAAAAGTCACCACCCACGGGACTGGGGAGAGTTCAGCGCAAGGTAGACGAACATGCAAATATATTTAAGTGAGCATGCAAATAAGCAGCATCTTTTTTCTTTTCTTTCTTTCTTTTTTTCTTTTTGCGTCAACAGCTTGGGCACTTTTTCCAGGCGACAGCAGCAGTGCGCAAGCACTCCAGCAGCAGGGCTGGGGATGTGGGGCCAGGGAGGGGGAACAGGGAGGGTTCCGGCACCGAAGGGAAGGGCTGCAAGGCTCCCAGCCCTTTCGCACCAACCTGACAGGATGGGGCGGGGGCTGGGGGGCCGCTCCCCATCTCTCAGAACTTGTGAGGCTACACGCAAGAGGACGAGAGACTCTTATTACTTAGGGATCTCCCCCTTCTTCAAGATGACCTGTCGTTGCCAGGGTGCGAGCTTGGCCTCGTCGTAGCCCAGTGTCCGCAGCTTCTCAGACTGTTCTTTCGCCCTCTGTATTTCCTCCTGCTTTTGTCGCTCCTCCTCTTTTCTGTTTATGGGTGGCAAAACTCAGTAATGCCTGGGGCCAGATACTGGGGCTGGCCAGACACCAGGGTGGCAGGGAGGGAGCAAATGAGGGCAGGGCCATCTCTGCTTATGACCCTGGGGTTTTTATGGGGTCATATTGGTCATGAAGAGATGGGTAGGTGGAGGCTAAGGTTGGGGTAGTTTGTGGAGGCCTTGTTACCAGGAAGGGGTGCTGGGTCACACAGGGCTCAGGCAGGTGGCCCTGTGTGGGGATTGAATGTTTCAGAGTTCAAGGGATCAATGACAAGAGGCCTGTCATTGGAGACAGGACTTGAGTTGTTAGGGAACTGCCAATCTAAATTACCAGGGAATAGGGTTGAGATGTTGGGGATCTCATTACAGGGGAACAGGCCAGCCAGCTAGCTAGGGACAGGTTCTCAGAACACAAGCCTCCCCAGGTTAGACCTTTCCTAGAGCACGCACGCAGCTTTGAGCCCCTAACTCTAAAAAAGCATAAGGGTAGATTTGCTTTTTTGACAGGGTCACCACTAATCCTATTTAGTTATGGAGCAATTGAAATATTCAAATTGGCATACACATGGTATTTTCAAAACTAAGAGTTTTAAGAAAAACATCTTAAGAGTTGTGTGTGTGTGATGTATTTGGGGGAACCCCAAACCTGCTATGTTGACAATGTTACTCTGAACTTGTGATTCTCCTGCACGCTGGAATTACAGACCTGTGTTATCACTCCAGGGTTGTTTTTTTTTGTTTTTTTGTTGTTGTTGTTGTTATTTTGTTTTCAATTTTATTTAATTGAGTGTGAATGAGTATTTTGCCAGCATGTATGTCTGTGCACCACATGTGTGCCTGGTGCGGAAGGAGAGGCCATTGGATCCTCTAGAACTGGAGCTCCAGATGGTTGTGAGCTGCCTCGTGGGTCCTCTGGGAGAGCAGCCAGTGTTTTAACTCCTGAGCCGTCTCTCCAGCCCCATGCCTCCAGATTTATGCACCACCTGAAGACTAAACTCTGGGCTTCCTGCGCTCTGGACAAGCACTCTGCCACCTGAGCTACGCCTAGGAATCCTCAATAACCCTCACGCTGACTGCTGAAATAAGACTTTCATACATTAAATTAAAGCATTAAAATTAAGTTTACCTATATCTTTTAATTTTTTTTCTCAATGTAGCTACCACAAAATTTAAAATTACATATGTGGTATACTTCTAGCTGGCAGTACCAGGATAGATCCCTGGGTACAGAAATTAAGTTGAGGGGAATGTGAATGATCAAGTTTATTGATCCTGGGGTTAAAATAATTGTCTTTTGGGCTAGAGAGATGGCTTATCAATTAAGATCATGGACTATTCTTGCTGAGGACCCAAACTGGATCCCCAGCACTCATACTAGTGGCTCACAACCACTGTAACTGGAACTCCAAGGGATCTGACACCTCTGGCCTCCACAGACATCTGCATCCATGTGTGCCTACCCCCCCCCCCCACATAATTAAAACAGAAAAGCCAGCACTGTAGGATAGAAAGCCCAGCTTTTGTTTGCCTTTCCTTTTGAGACAAGGTCACCTGTGGGTCAATTTGGCCTTGAACTGACTGTGAAGCCAAGGATAACCTTGAACTCCTAATCCTGCCTCTACCTACCGAGTGGGATTCTAGGTATATGCTAACACACACAGTGCTAACACAGTTGGTGAAAAGCTAGGTTCGTGATAGGAGATGGGGGGGGTTGGGGTAATGGGATCCGAGCATGAGAGCTAGACTTTGAGCGGCAGGTGCTAAATAATTAAGGGTCTTATGTCACTAGTGGGCGCTTAAAGGTTATGATACAAGGATTGAAGTAATGGGCTGGATGAGGGAGCATAAGGGACAAGCCTCAGGGAGTGGTTGTAGAAAGAAGTGACAGGCTTGGGCCAGGACTGAACTTACCGCTTCTGCTCCCTGGAATGAGAAAGAGACAGCATTAGATGGCGTCCTAACCCCAGAGGTGGTGAAGACAGTGCCCAGCAGCCTCTTTCAGACACTCACCGCTCCTCTTCCAGCTTCTTCCGGAGGATGTCTCGCCTCCAGGCAGGCAGGCTGGCCAGCCGGGCCTCCTCCTCTTCCTCCTAAAACACACAACCACACAGCTTCAGGGACCAGCTTGAGATTTGCAGGCCAGGGGCATGCATTTCCAACCCAGGGGCAGCAGAATATATATGTGTTTATATAAAGACCTTTTTGGTGGCCTCCTATGGTGCAATCAGATAATGGTGGTTGGTGATAGCCTCCTCAAAAGGGGCCTTCTGCTCCCCAATGACCCAACTACTTTCCTAGAAGTGGAGCCAGATAGATCAGGGAAGGTAAAAGGGAAGAAGCAGAACAGTAGCTGGGTCCTGATTTCCTCCAAAGCAGGTGGCTACATGGCTCCAAGTCTGTCAGGAAGATAGAGACTTGTACCGCACACCAGGTCAGCTCAGGAAGACCCAGGCTGCTCCGGATCCTCTATGGAGGAATTCCTGGCCCATACTTGCTCTTTTCTTAATGGGACAGAAACTATTCCACTATGTGGGGCTATAGTGACATGGGGAGAGGGGCGCCAACACAGCCTATGACAGAGCGCTTTATTCCTTGATGTTACAGAATAGCAAGGGTCTGTACACATCACACACCACACAGAACACTGCACGGGTGGCCAAGGAGGTAGTAGCTGCGAATTCCGGTGAAAAACCAGAGGCAGAACCGCACTGCCCTCAGGGGACCCAGAGTTCCTTAACTTGTGCTTCCTGGCTTCATAGCAACGCCTGACTTGCCCTGTGACCAACCCATCTCATAAATGTCTTCACTTCCTCCCTCCAAGGGACCTCAAAGGTCCCAAAGAAGCAGGCTTTTAAAAATCTGGTTCTTTTCTCTGGTTCTGGCCTCTAGATGCCAGACAGGCATCCAGGTACAAAACTAAGCTGTGCATTTGCTCTCAGATGTCAAAGAGTTCTGCCTCCTTCTCCTTCCAAAAGGAGAAGCTCCGGTCAATATAGCGGCAGATGTCCTCGTTGCTGAATTCGCCCATGTCAGACACCAGCTCCAGGGGCTCTTCAGTTGGGGGTTCCGAACTAGGCAGGCCTGAGGTTGGGGGAGGTGCAGCGGGAGGTGGCTGTGGTGCAGGGGCTGGGGCCTCTGGCTGCTCCTGTGGCAGGTCCTGTGTTTGAGCAAGAGTGGATTCTTCAGAGGGCTCCTCCTCTCTCTTCTCTCTCTTCTCCTTGTCTTCCTCCTTTCTCTTCTCTTCCTCCAGTTTTTCCTCCTCTCCCACCTTCTCATTTTCCTCCTCTCCCCCCTTCTCTTTTTCCTCCTCTCCCTGCTCCTGTTTTTCCTCCTCCTCTTCCTCTTGGTCTTGTTCTTTCTCTCTCCCTTCTCCCTTCTCTTGGGCCTCTGCTGGAGCCGGCTCAGACTCGGGGCTGTCTCCGAAGAACTGGCGCCTGAGATCCTCAAAGCCATCGTCCCAGCCACGCGTTCCAGCCTCCACCTCCTCCAACACTGCTCGGTGGAACTGGCGGATAAGCTCCCACGGGTGGCTTCCCAGACGGTCGAACATCTCATAGCACAACAGGTGGCGGAATTTCCGTTCCTCGCGGCTCAGGCCCATCTCCAGCAGCTGAAAGTAGCCTAACATGAAGAGATCCAGGGTGAGACTGTCGTAGCTCCGCGTAGCGCCGCCGTCGAGTGGTGGCAGGAAGTGCTCGGGCCAGTACACACCGCGTGTCAGCTTCGAGCCGGGTGCCTGGCGCGCTGGTACCTGCCTTAGCAGACTTCTCCAGTGGCCCAGCAGTTTGCCCACCACCTGTCGCTGCTTGAGCAGCCGCAGCAGTCGCTCTTCAGGGTCACGGTCCAAGTCGTCACCAGCTGGTTGCTGCTGGGCAGTGTCGTCTGCCTCTGGGAGGGGACCGGCGCCAGAGGCCACCACCCGGGGCAGCAGTCTGCGCAGGCGCGCCTGAGCATGACGCCCAGGTCCTTGGAAGGTCCACTTGCGCCAGTGCTCCAGGAAGAGGTAGACGATGCGCTCCTTGCGCATGTCGATGTAGTCCTGGACGCCGGGCAGCTCGGTGGAGAGTGGCGACCTGCTAGCCAGCTGCTCGGGCTCCGGAAAAGCTTCCTCCCGGTGCCACGGCTCGGGTGGATCCAGGGTGTCCAGGGTCTCCTCTGCAGCCCACAGGCCATTGGCGACGACGGCTCTCGGCTCACTGGAACCGCTCGCCACGTAGTCCTCCTCGAGGATGGGTTCCCGGTCCGGGGTGCTGGCGGGCTGAGGGAGCTTGCGGCGGAGACTCGGGGTGGGCGCCACGCCCTGAGTGCGCAGTTCATACGCGGCGCGGAGGTGCTGTACCGAGACGCCACATTCGAGGATCTCCCGTGCCACAGCCTCCCGGCACCAGCTGAGTGAATGAGAGCGGCCCAAACAGAGAGGTCCAGGCCTCGAGGGTGCGTCTGGCAGCGGTGCCAGCGGTTGGCCAGTGTCTGCAGTCAGCAGTTCTGCCAGGTGTGCGGGCCGGCCGCCCAGCGCGGCCAGTAGCGTGGCCATACTCTTGAGCAGCGTGGAGATCTTGCTGCACCAGGCCGGCAGGTTGGGTGCGTGGCCGTGCATTCGGCGTGGGTCTACGGTAAAACGCGGCGCCGACAGAGCGGCCGAGATCGGTAGCAGCTGCTCCAACTCCAGCTCTAGCTGCTCTAGGCGCGCCTCGAGCTTGTTTGCCTTGTGCAACACCTGCAGGTTCTCAATTTGTTGTTCGATGCGGAGGATGTCTGCCTCGGTCATGAGCTCGCCAAAGGGCCCTAGGATGGCGTTGTGCTCGCGGGAGTACCTCCAGCCTTCCGGGGGATAACAGCAGGAGCTAGCGGCGGTCAGCTAAGGCGGGGAAGACAAGAGAGGGGAGGGGGCGCGTCTCCCTCTAGCCCAGCTCCCGCAGCAGAGCAGGCGACCTTTTGCAAGTCCTGGGTGGTGTAATGGCTCCGCTGGGCTGCGTTTGCAGGGACCGGCCGCCTGCCTGGCGGGGAGATTGTATTGCAGTAAGGCTTCGGCTCCCAGCTCAGAGCACTGTTCCCTTTGGTTGCTGGTAGAGGGCATTGGCTGGGGCTGCGGCGCTGCCTGAGGCAGGAAAGGCAGGCTGGCAAACTGGGTCTCCATGCCTGGCTTAGTCGCTCATTACACCACCGGAAGAACATGCGAAAGGCATTGAAGCAGAGAAGCACAGCGGCCCTCCCCTGCCCGATCCACAGCTCTTTCCAAGCCAGATCCCAAAGTTCCTCTCTTGTCACCAGATCACAGACCCTTTCTCAGGCTTCCTGTGGTCCAAGTCCATCTTGTCCCTTGTCCCAGCGGTCAGGTCAATGTTTCATATGCCCCTCCTACTCCACTCCTCCATACTTTTTCTCCATACTCCACTTTTCAAGACAGGGTTTCTCTGTAGCTTTGGAGTCTGTCCTGGAACTAGCTCTTGTAGACCAGGCTGGCCTCGAACTTACAGAGATCCACCTGCTTCTGCCTCCCAAGTGCTGGGATTAAAGGCGTAAGACACCACCGCCTTGCTCCGTAATCCACTCTTAAGTTACAGACTCCTACCCCATAAAATGTACGGGACCCAGCTCCACTTCTAGGGCCAGATCCATCTAGATCCAGTACTGTCCACCTCCCACACAAGTAAGCTGAGCCCTCAGGCTTCGGATGCTGGGGGTGGGGTGGGGTGGGAGGTGGGACTAGTCTTTTCCAGGCAATCAGCTGAAACTTTGTATCCTGACTCCCACCAAACATCCAAGACACAGCCTCTTCCAGACTTGCCCACTCTGCTTGCCTTCCTCTGCTCGCCACTCTTCCTAATCAACTCTTATGTGCCTCCGGCTCCCACCTCACATTGGGCTAATACATCACCCCTCAGCCCACAGCTGGCCACCAGCTGAGTGGCACCTCAGTCTCCAGTGCTCCTGACCACTCAGTGTATTATAAAGCTTAGTTGTTTGTTACTCCAAACTGTCGCTCTCACATCATCATCTCTTAGGGACACTTATCTGCTTGTTCACACACACACACACACACACACACACACACACACACAGCTTCCACAGCCACTTAGATAGCAGGCTTTGGTATCTTCACTGTGAGCCCTCAGAAGACACAATAGTGTGTACAGTATCTAGGTGGCGCTCAGGGAACCCTGGTTGGGTGAGTGAATGGTGACCGGCAGCTAGTGATGACCAAATCATCGTACAGATACAGGGAATGACGCTGAGCAAGACTCAGCGGCAGTGGCTGGAGGGTGACAGTGCCAGGACAGAGTTCAGGTCACACTCAGTGTGGTTCACCCAGGAGCTTGTTAGAAATGCAGAATCTCAACCCTTGTCCCCAAAGCAGAATAAGCTCTTGAATAAGGTCCCAAGTGACTTGAAGGCACACTAGAGTTTGGTAAACATTGACGGCGGCTCACTTCAAGGGACAGCGAACCGTGGGGAGACAGAGACCGGCTATGTGTAGGATATTCTATATTCCTGCTTCTCTCCAAGGGCTTTGCTGGAGGCTGAAGGGTCAGAACAGGCTGTGGGCTTAGTGCTGACCCCAGGGCTTTCTAGGAAGCCATACCCCACCCACCTTCCTCCTCTGCTCCTCCTCCTCCTGCATCTTCTGCTGCAGCTTCCGGACCATCACCTGGCGCTTCCACTCTGGGATGGGCCGGCCCTGCTCATCCAGCGTAGGGATGAGGGCCTCCACATCCAGCTGTACTCCTGGTGCTGGGGTGGCAGGTGGTGCCGGCACAATGCTGCCATTGAGCAATGGCTGAGGCCCAGAGGCCGGTGGGGTGGGGCTCCGGGCTCGAGATGGCGCAGGTGACACCAAGGGCTGTGGCGATGGCTGAGGTGACGGTGACTCAGGCTGCCGGGAGAAGCAGTAGGGCTGAGCACCCAGCAGGCACTGGGAGCCCGGGCGGGGCACCCGTCTAGTGCCTACCTGGGAGGCTGGTTGCCCACTGCCTGAAAACACAGTGGTCAGCCCCTTGCTCTGTGGCGTTGGCTTCAGGCTCTTGCCTGCTTTTATCTCAGCCAGCAGCTCTGAGTTATCACCCGTTGGGGACATCATGTTGAAAGATTTGGTACCTGCCCAAAGAGAAGAGGTGATTGGTTGGGGGTAGGTAGCGTTCCCATCTCCATCCTGCCCCCACCCACCCCAGAACCCCTTTCCAAGCCAGATGGGTAGGGCCCACCTTTGGGCCAAGAGGCAGCTCTCCAGCTCCGGGATACCTCAGATAGCTTTCAGGACACCCAAAGGTGGGCCATCAGGTCCCAATCCACGGTGATCCCACCAGGTCTTACTCACTGGGCTTTTGGCCCCCACCTGGAGGCCCCTGGGAATTCATGGTGGCTCCTGGGCCAGCCCTGGGCACTCGAGCGGATCTCTGCCCACCATCGACTGCCCAGCTCCAATGCACTACCCTGCTAGCCACCCAACCTTTGTCCCAGGTTTCCTGGCTCAGCCCCCACTAGGGCGGAGTTTCCCTATGGCCCTCTCCCTTCATCAGCAAAGCCCAGTGACCCTTGGACTGAGCAGACTGGAGCCTCCGTGGCTATAAGACTCAGGACCCTGGAGTGCCACCCAGGTGGACCTTCCCTGGCCCCACACCCACAGACAGACAGCAGACACAATGACGGCAAGCGGAGCATACATTTATGGCAAAGCATTGCATGACCCCGGGGGACCGTAGAAGGAGGAGCTTGCTGAGGACATGGGAGAGGGCATGCAGGAAGAAGGGCCAGGCCAAAGGCATGCAAATACCTGGACTGAGTTTGCATTTCCAGCAGGGCTGGCGGAGGTGAATGAGTACTTGGGGAGAGCGGTCTTTGGTGCCCCAGATGGGGGCAGAAACAGAGTGATACTAAAGGCCCTTGGATGCTGGGGCTGATAATCCCCACCCCAATGAGAAGGAAGGCATGCCGCTGCCGGCTCATTTACTTAAGCAAAACTGCAAGCCAGGCATCGGATGCCGGGATGCCGTAGGTGTTCAGGGTAACAGGTCCTCTCACCTACTGGCCCCTAGCAAGCCCTTTCTTCAGTCCCGGGCCCTTTCTGCCTTATTTCTGGGCAAGCCACCTCCCCCACCCCACGCCTTAGCCTCAGCCTAAGCCGTGAGCCCGCGCAGCTACTCACTCTTCCTGTGTCTCAGGACTCTCACTTCTAGGAACCGAGAGGAGAGAATTGACAGCGAAGTTAGAGGAAGGGGGGCTGGGGTGAAACCCGGACAGCAAGAAGGCCAGGGAGGGCAGGAGGGGGAGAAGAGGGGAGGAGCTCCCCTGCCCTTGTGACCCTGGCTCAGGCCACTCTGGGGCCCCACAAGGGTGGTCCATCTTGGCATTGGGGCTGATTGGGACAGCCAGAGACTAGTATTTCCCTTTTGTCCCTAGTACAGACTGCAGAGGAAGGAGAGTTGGCTGGTGAGCTGGGGGATGGACTGAGAGACCCAGTCAGGTGTGCACACACTCTCAGGGGCTCCAGAGGAGCTGCTCTCCTAGTCCAGTCAGAAAAATGAAGCTTGGGCTGGAACCACCGAGTATGGTTTCTGTGCCCAGCCCTGCCTCACTAGGATGAGAAAACCAGAACCTTCCAGGATCCTTGGCAGAAGGAACGGGGTCCCGCCGTCCTGGTCCCTAGCTGAACTTCCAAACACCGGCCTCCAGCCAGTGGTCGAGCGTACGCCTAGCACGCTTGAGGGGCCCTGAGGAGTCCTCTATGAACACCATCACCGCGCACATACATACAAACCCCAAGGAAAGGGTTGCGATGGATTGCTGGGTTATTGTTTTTGTTCCCCTCGCCAGACACAGCTGATCAGTGAGTCCTGTAGCTGAGAAAAGCTCAAGCCTGTGCTTAGCTTGAGGGAACAAGAGTCAAAGGTTGGAGAGTGCGGGGACTGAAGATGTAGGTACAGGAAGAAGAGAGCTCGAGAAACACCGGCCACCAGAACCCGGAGGCTCTCCCTAGCCAAAAAGGAGAAGGAAGGCCCAGAGAGGGCAGGGGCCTCGCCAAAAGCCACACAAAGCCCAGCCCTGCGTAGGACCGAAGCAACTCAAAAGTTTCTTTCCTTTGTCATCAAAGGGTAGGGTCTGGAAAGAAGAACCGGGAAGGAGGAAGAAGGACTAGGCAAGATACAGCTGGGGAGGGGGAGGTCTCTAGGTTTCCCTCCCCTTTACAGCTGGCGCCGCCCCCACCCCTCATCCCGCCCCTACTCACTGCCAGCGGACGACGAGGAACGACGCTGCCCGCAGCCTGCGACCGCGCCCTCGATGGGCAGAGGTGGGGCAGGTGGCGGCGAACTCAGGGTCTCGGGCAGTGGCGGCGGCGGCGGTGGTGGCGGCAGCTCCTTAGACGTCTTGGGGTCCGCTGTGCAGCCGTTGTGCACGTGGTTCCCGGGGAGCAGCGCCGCCTGCGGGGGGTGCAGAGGGGCCAGAGAGTGAGGAGCGTGCAAAAGGGTCCGGGCCCCGACGGCCCGCGGATGCGGACTGGAGAGCACGCACCTCCTCACTGTGGGCCATGCCCGAGCGTGAGGCCAGCGGCTCCCCCGGGCAGCGGCCCAGCTGGCGGTAGTAGTCCCCCGTGCTGGGCTGTTTGCTGAACGAGCGCTGTTTGCGGCCGGAGTCCTGCCTGCGCAGTCCGATGTTGTGCCTGAGAAGCCCCGAGTCGTCCTGCCTTCGCAATCCTGAGTGGCCGTCGCCCGAGCTCAGCTGCGGGAAGACAGTGGAGGAGGATGCATTTAGCCCGGATGCCCCTCGCACCTCCCTTCCCACCCTTTGCCTAGGGGGCTCGCGGCCAGCGGCCGTCGAGTGGCGGAGCTGGCCGCGACCCTGCCCCTCCCCCCCCCGCCCCCAGTTCTCTGAGCAGGATGGAGCAAGGGGCGTGGGGACCTTGGTAAAAGGGCGAAGGCTCGGCCGGCTCACAGGGAGGGGTCTGGGTTAGGGCCAAGGGCACAGGGGCCCCCACTAAAGCCAGAAGGGGCGGACCCAAGGGCGGGGAGGCTCAGCCTGGACGCCAGGGGGAGCCTTAGCCAGGACAGCTCCCACTTAGCCCGCCCCGAGGGCTCGGCTGCACCCTACTAGCTGCTCCACAAACCGCACGTGAGAGCTCCAGGCTCCTCGAACCCTCTCCAGCGGGGGTCTCAGCCTGGAGGGGGCCCTGTCTAGAGCTGGTGTCCTGGAACGCTTCTCCTTACTCAGGGGGCCCACAGCCTAGGGCTGCTCCTACCTGCGACTGTTCCGGTGGCCCCCGCTGTGCACCTGGCGGCGGGGGCGGCACGGACCCGACACCTGCGTTACCTGATCCTTCCTCTCAGGTTACAGCCCGGCCGCACGCGGCCCGCCTATGAGCTCAGTCGGCCTGACATCACCCAGGATCCGCCAATCCCAGGCTCAACCCCCCAGCAGGCGGGGATGTCACGGAGCCCCGCTGCTCCACACCGGGCCAGGGGCGGCTCCGCCCTCTGCACCTCTCTCCCCACTAGAGGTCCTGAGTACCCTACCTTCATCCTCCCCGCCCTCAGTCATTTGCCAGGACGTAAGAGGGGCTGACCTCGGGCAGCGAAACCGCTCTTTTTTGCCCCCAACCCACACCCCAACCCAGGTCGCGCCCCGGACCTTCCCCACCCGCATCTGGAACCCATCGCTATCCATGTAAACGACACCACACCCGCGCCCAGGCCTCAAGTTTCAAGGGTGGCCAGGTGGGCTCGGGTGACAAAGCCACTTCTCACTCGGTTGCTCCCCACTAAGGCCTGCACTGGGCAAGAGAGAAAAGGTGGCGTGGCCAAAGACCAAATGACCAGGTGGGGCCTGTCCCCTGACCCAGTCCCCAGTTTGTATGTCTCTGCAGTGGCCTCAGACCCTCCGCACCCCACTGGATGTGGTGCACGTGACAGGAAACACGACACGCCGGATTTGCTTTCTGGGTCAACCAGCCCCTTCGGCAGGCACCCACTACAGCCACCGCGGTGCACACCCCTCAACTCAGTTTAGGCACCCGCGCCAGAGGGGACAAGGGACGCAGCCGGCACACAAAGGGCCCTTTGTGGAGCCTATTAGCGCCTTCAGTTCAGCACGAACACACCGCAGAGGGGCTCGGGCATGGCATAATGCTGGCACTCAGGCGCACTCAGGCCCAGGAGTGGGGAGTGGGCAAGGTTTGGGGCAAGGTTCATATGCTGCGCCGGGCTGGGAAAGTGGGCTGGCCTCAACTCTCTCCAGCCTCTGTCCAGCCTTCTTTCATCTACAGATGATAAAAGAACCTTCTGGGAAGAGCTTGGTGCACCGGAAGGCAGGTAAAGGCCACGGTGGAGTCCCGGTAAAGGTTGTGTCCTTCCCACAACCACCTCCGCCCCCATGGCCTTGTGACCTGGCTCACCTGTGCAAACTGATCACTCAGCTCCACCCTGGGGTGGCATGCCTTGGGCTGGGGAGAGAATTGCAAGGTCTGGGCTCTGGCAAGGCTTTGTGGGTTTGCCACCCTACACCTGGCCACCTGTGGTCTTAGATTGCCCCTCCCTCACCTCTCCCCCCGGCCTGGCTTCTAGCCTCCCTGCCATTCATCTGCCCCTTCTCTGCTCCGCAGCTTTAGCCGGAAGTCCAAATGCCTTGGATGCTCTAGCCCCTCATGTTCACGCCCCTTCTGAAGAGTTCCATTCTCCTTCTCACACACATGCTCCTCCTCCACCCACGCAGAGGTTACGGAGTGGGAGGGGAGTTAGCATTGGAGTGAGCCTTTTTTTAACCCTGATGGAAGAGAAGCCAGCTTCAGCCTCTACTTCCCTAGCTAGGCCTTGTAGCCCTGTCCGCGGCTGTTCTGGCTGTCCTAAAATTCAGAGACCTGCCTGCCTCTACCTCTCCAATGCTGGCATTAAAGACGAAGGCCACCACCACCTGGCTCGAGTGTCATTCTCTGTGTGAGCCCCGCGCTACGGGTACCCATGAAATCTAAGTGCTAACTCCACCACGACAGCCCTGCCGCTCTGCGCAAGATGTGGCCTAGCTCCTCAGTAGGCCCGACTTGGCCTAAGTTCCCTCAGCCTCAATCCTCGACAGGAATACGGAAGCTTTGCTTTGCAGCTCCCACCCGTCTACCATGCTCAGTTCTGTGCTCCCACAGACCTGGCTAAGATTTATTTATTTATCTATTTATTTATTTTGGTTTTTCGAGACAGGGTCTCTCTGTAGCTTTGGAGTCTGTCCTGGAAGTAGCTCTTGTAGACCAGGCTGGCCTCGAACTCACAAAGATCCGCCTGCCTCTGCCTCCCGAGTGCTGGGATTAAAGGCATGCGCCACCACCGCCCGTCTAAGATTTTTCAATATCTTGAACTTGCCCTGAGCCCAGAAATTCTCATCTGTGACCACAAACCACCCAGGCCAGTTCTCTATTGGCCCAGCCTAGTCCTACTGCTAGCCAGCAGGGCCAGCTCTCTACCTACCTCCTTCTTCCGTGACTCCACTTCCACATGGCGAAGCTTGTTCTTGGTCTGCATGTAGATATTATCTGCAGGTAGCCCCGCAGGGGGCTTGGGAGCTGGATAGCCTGGTGGAGGTGGGGGCAGCTGGGTGCCTGGGGGTGGTGGCGGAGGAGGGAAGCTTGGTGGCGGAGGTGGTGGTGTAGGCTTCCCTATCTTGTCCCGAGGCACGCTCAGCTCTGGGTTCAGCATATCCATGTAGCTCTGTAAATCTGCAGCTCTTGCACTGGGAAGCCCTGGGGGCAGGAGGGCAAGCAGGATGTGTAAGTTTGCAAAATGTATCCCAGACCCAAGGTATCCCAACACAGCAAACGGCTTATCCAGTGGCAAGGCTAATGGGGGTCACTTGCTGCGGTCTCCCCAGTAGGCAGGAAGGTGATGCTCTCTGGTTTTCAGGGGTCACTTTAGGGAGTTTTGGGTTCCAGAGTCCTGTGGAGGAGGACCACCTGGCAGGGGCCGGGCAAGGCAGGAGTCTGGGTAGCTACACTCAAGCCAGCTCTGCAGATCGCCACCTGGTGGTGGGAAGCTGACACTGCAGGTAGTCGGACTGTTCAGGGTGTGGTCAGTGTGTGCACAGATGCCTGTCTCTAAGGGCTTTTGTTATGTGTGTATATTTGTGTTTCTGTATTGGTCTGGGGGACCTTTGTGTGGGTATCCATATATGTAGTAGGCAAATGGAGGGTTCCCGTTCGTGTAATATAGGTGTGTGTTTGTATGTATAGTATCAGCATGTTTGTATCAGTGTGTTTGTGTGTACTTATCTTGTTTACTAGGCACACCCATCCATATGTGCAGCTTTGAGTTTGTAACCTAGACCAGAGAGCAGCAGACCATGTGTGGGGCACATGCGGGTTTTGTGGCAGGGAGTCTGTATCATAATGGACACGCTCGATCGTCCCTCTCCCCACGCCAAGACAGTGAGTGACACAGAGAGAACAGCCATGTGCTTTGTCTTGTCTCCTCGAATTCCTCTTCTTACCGTCCCGCTCACCTCGAGTAGAGCGCTGACCCTTGATGCTGGAGTGGCTGGAAGAGCAGGAGTCATAGTTGGAGAGGGTGCTGGTGGGCGAGCCGAGGTCCAGGTTCAGCGGCTGCACCGACATGGTGGTGTTGGGCGAGGACATGCCTGAGTCAGGCTGCTTTGCCTCCAGGTCAGTGGACGGATCCCGGGACAGGACTCGGTGTTCCACGCTCTGAGGAGAAAGGAGGGCAGCTGTGAGGATACACTCCACACTCTCTGCAACAGGGGTCCTCAGTGAATGACCTGCCAAGCCACTTCCTTCCTTTTCTACCGTGAGAGGGTCCGCAGCTTCTTCGAATAAGCGTCAGGGGCAGACCCTCCCAGCAGCACTTCCGGCCTCAAAGAAATTTCCACCTGGCTCTCCCCCTGCTCAGGTAGGCGGAGACCTGGAAAGAAGGGCCCTGGGCTGCACGCTGCAGCCCTACGCCAGACTTTCTGCTCTCATCAGTGGGCAGAAGGCCCGGGCTTTTATGCATCTGTGGGCAGAGGGCCCAAGGGCTGCTCCTGCAGGAAGAAGCATACAGGGAGACAACCTCCACTTCCTGCCTGCAGCCCCATCTCTATTTGCTTGGCATGCCAGCTCCCTACACTAGATGGGGGTGGGGAGGTTGGGCCCTAGATGGCATGCCCCAGCTAAGGCTTCCAACCCTACCATTCTCCCTCCCACAGGCTGGACCTCTGAGTGCAAGTCCGTTCCTCTTTGCTGGGAGCAGTTAGAGTTAGGGGCTAACTTACATTGCCCATGCTGTCCCTGCTACCGGCAAGCCTGCTCCTCTGTTGCCTCCTGCCCTCCTGGCCCCTCCCTGCCTGAGAAGTGTCACAGGCCCCCTGGGAGAGGGAAGCAGGCTGGCACCAGGTAACGGCTCAGCGGCCACCCTCATTGGCCTTGTAATTAGTGTTTGCCTTTTCTGGGCCGCTACCTCGGTGGCTTGGATCTGTCATTGCTGCTGCCTGGCCTGCCTGGGTGAGGGGACCAAATCCTACTGCCTACCTCATTCACTTCAAGAGGTCCAGGCCCTGTTGCCTACCCTATGAGGGAAAGGAGAGACCCAGAAGGCGACTTGGGGGGAAACAACCTAAAGGTACTCTTCTCTTAACTAACACTAGTGGGTTAGCATGGGGACCCTGCCCTGAGCTCTGTAGACCACAGAAGACAGGAGCTCGAACCGAGGGACACAGGCTTGGCAGCCTGGAAGCATAGCCTTTACTCCCTGCCCTCACTCCCTTGCTATGGATTCTGAGCATATTATATGCCAATACTTTCTGCACCCGAGTTTCTTCATCTGTAAAGTGGGGATAATGGTATTTCCTTCACGGGGCGGGGGGGCGGCAAAGGTGTTGGAAGTCGGTGAGAGGCATGGTGCCCAGTACATGCCTTAAGTGTAAATTACCAACAAACATGATAGAGATGAGCCGGGGTCACACCTGTACAGCGCAGGACAGAGAGCCTGCCGGAGTCCCACATCAACACTGGTGCTTATGGGAGCTGCAGCCGCAGCCTGGCAGGCTCTCAGGTGGTGTGCCCAGGTGCTGCATGCTCACAGCCCCATAGCAGACATTCTGCCGGAAGGGAACTCACTCCTGGTCCAGACAGAGACTCACAGTGCCCGCACCTGCTTGTGTGCCCCAGTGATGGGATACCCACTTTCTGGCGGTTCATTCCCCCAACCTTCAGCCATGATTGACACCTAGGCCATGCTGAGCTGCTCAAATCCCAACCAGGGTTACCCCACATGCTAGCAGATAGAGCAGAATTCATCTGTAAGCCTTCCTCATGTCTGGGCTAGGTCCTGGAGATAGCATCCCTCTGAGGGAGCAGGGGCTGTGAGACCTACCGTCTTCCTCCTCTACTGCCCCAAAGTAGGCATTGTACCAGCAGGGGCAGGGCCCTGGACTTAGAGACGCCCACACCTGAGCCTGGATTCTCACTGGGTCATCTCATGGCTTTGTAAGCACACAATAAAATAATTTACAAGAGTCACATCGTTTTTCGGTTATGAATTAACTACAAGGTGAGCAACTGTGTACTAGTCAAGAGGGGCGGTTCCTGCCAGCTGTTACGGTGCATTGCTGTAATCCTAGCTACTAAAAGGCCACAGCAGAAGGGTCACAAAAAAGGCAGGTGGAAAGAGACCTGAGGTGTGGCTTAATGGTACACCATTTGCCTAACATTCCAAACCCTCAGCGCTGAAGAAGAGAAGAGATAGCTCATAGCCAAGGCCTGGCCATTGGGCTCCATCATGGGTGTGTGACCTTTGGCCTTCCGGAGACTCAGTTTACCCATCTGTGAAATGGGACCACTACCATAGCCTACAAGAGAGGGTCTGTAAGAGTTAAGTCCGCTAATACATGTGGGTGGGTGAAAAATGAGGTTGGCTGGGCCCAGTGGTCATTGTCTCCTGGCCTCTGCCTATCTCATGCCTGATGACAACGGTTTTGAATTTCAGCTGGTGCCAAGCAGTGGGCAAGGACACTTCCCCCTTGTACCACCCCAGGCAAGAAGCTTCATACCCCAGACCCTCAACTTCCTTCTCAGTAAAAGGGGTAAAGTCATACCAGGGTTTGCACGGTACGTAGGTAGCGAGAGCAGTGGGTGTGGCCATTGAAATCAGACAGGTCGGCAGCTGTGTACCCATCATGGTCCCGGACTTCCAGCCCCGCACCATTCACCACGAGGATCTGGCAGCACTGCAGGGGGCGAGGAGGGGAGGGCTGGGTCCTTCCACGTCCTGCACTCCAGAGAGGCTGCAAGGAGAGCCTGCAGCCGCCAGGGGGCGCCCGCGCCCC